ACAGCTTAATAAAGTTCCTGTATTTTCTTGGAGCACCTGAGCATTAATACAAGTGTTAACGTTTTTAGTGTTGCAAAATCCATGACCGTAGAGAGTATCATCTGCATTAGACAACTGGGAGAATATAGCAAGAGCAAATGTTTTGCTCAAGGTCACCCAGAAATTGGGAATTAAAACCAGATTCCTTCACGTAGGCCCAAGCACAAGACATTCTTTCCTCTCTTGTGTCTGAGTTTTAAGATTTTTCAGGATGTTTCTGAGGCCTTCCACAACTGATGAATGTGTCTGGCTATGTCTGTCATGCAAATGCAGCCAGTGCCATGTGTGAGCCAGAAGCTTGAGCCAGACACCAGGCAGCAGGATGTTTTTGCTCCTGATTCCTACAAAGGTCTGACAGCCTGTTCACCCCAACCTTTTTTGCCGTTATTTAGGTTCTCCTGGAATGGTGGCTTTTGCTTTGTGCTGGATGGCTTCTAGTGGTATGGATTCCCTAAACTCTTGCTGCACACAACAAAGATAAACGTAAGTACTTAATGATCGTTTTTAACTCTCATTCTCCCTCTTAGAATAAAGCTGTTTCTTGTGCAATGTCTCTTTGTTTTTTTTTGGTTTCATGCATTTAGTATAAGATACACGCTTGTGGTTGTTTTTAATATCCACGAAGAATCCTTCTCACAGACAGATCCTACATCTTCTGTGTACTGCATGGTTTCTCCAAGTATGTAACAAAAATTTAACAGTGCTTTTTTCAGTTTTGTATTAATTAAGATGTACCTGCCTATTAGGAAGTTTTCACAAGTAGACAAATGCCCCATATTTTTATTCAAAATCTTAGCAGTTCTGGAACCATCCATATTTATAAATGTGCAAGTATTACAAAGATCACTCCAAAATTCTTACACGTTACTCCTTGCAATTTTACTCACACTATGAAAATGTCTGGTTCAGGTCTAAATAAGGTGTTTTTGTAAAAGAACAGCATAAGCATAAAGTTTCTGACAACTTGCAGCTTAGAGATTTCCTGAGACAAAGACCTTTTTAAAATATTCCTCCAAAGGTTTCTGCCACACAGTTTTATCTGTGGTATTCAGGAAAAATGTTAGTACCCTTTGCATGCTGTGAAGAGGTTCTCTAAAATCTGAAGATGTACAGTTAGCATTTAGAGTTCCACTGCCACATCTAGTCCTGGTTCTTTAAGGTGTGGCTTAGAGACCAGAATAACATGCAGTTTCATATTAATATAATTTTTTGAGATTGCATACGTCTTGTTTATGTAGACAGAAGATAAACTGCCCCTGGAATTACTGAGAAATTATGCAATGGCTTTGAATTTGAAACACAGAGAGTAATATAAAAATTCAAAAGCATTATTCTAAATAATCTTCATGAGTTTGTGTTAGGTTTATACAATTACACTCCTTAGTCAAAGTTGCCACATCACATGGAATTTTAGAACCAAAGCACAACTTTAAAAAAAAAAAAAGGATTTGCTATATTCCTGGAACTTACATCTGTCATCACAGAGTCACAGAGTAGTTTGGGCTGGAGAGGACCATAAGATTATCCAGTTCTAACCTACCTGCTATGTGCAGGAATGCTTTCTGCGGGACCACATTGCTCAATCATAGTGCCATAGAGCCAATCAATGTGCCATTCAGCACAGCCTGTCATGGTCTTCTGACCCACTTCAATTTTGTCATGATTTATTTTTGTAACATTTCTCGCCTGAATATTTTTTGTAACTTCTAAACTTTCTTCCTTGTACTTTCTACTCCTCTTTCTGTGTCCTATGGCACCTGTTTGCCAGTTAGTATTTTCAATCTAACTACTGCAATGCATAATTTATTTTCACTTGATAATTATTTGTATAAAAAATTCCAAGACTATTCAAATTCACTTGTTTAATTCTTGGCCTTCTACTGATTTGCAGATCTCTTAAAGATCCTTGTCACAACTGCTACTAAAACAAAACAAAACAAAACAAAACAAAACCAAATCACAACTGAGAGAAGATTTGAGAAGCAGAAAAATGCAGACCAAAGACATCAGTCCACCAGATGGTGGCTACGGATGGGTTGTGGTAGTGTCAGCCTTCATAGTGATGGGCCTCACTGCTGCTGTCCTCAAGACTTTTGGTCTCTTCTTTGTTGAAATCCAGGAGCACTTTGATGAGCTTGCAAGCACCATTTCTTGGATCACATCGATAACTATTGCCACCTTTCATTTAGGAGGTAGGTGAAAGTTTCCCTTCAGCATTTTGGTTTTAAATTCTGACTACAAAATAAAGACATGCAGGAACAATGCTTCTTTCTTCTCTTCAAAAAATTGGCATTTGCTTCCTCTTATAAAAATGTATCCATGCCTCAGACATTAAGTGATACAGTGAGTACTCTGTGTACATGCACTGAAATTTGGTTATCTTAGAGAACTCTATGTACCTAGTCTCATAATTCAGTTTTCCTACAGACTTTGTATCAAACTCAGGGATGATAATCCTAAGAACTTCAGAGATTGTTGAATCAAATTCTAAACCAGTTTGTGTGAGTTCACTGATTTTTACAGTGACTACCATTTTTCCAAGTGCTTTAAGACCTAAGGACGGTGATCCTGCCTACTAGATAAGCTGTATGCTACCACAACGGTGACATCAATTCCCCCATTCCTTCTCCTTTTTTACTCCACAAAACTTCCCTCTCCTTGTGCCTAATCCCAGTTCTGGCTCTCCTTCCTCCCTTAAAGTAATTCCTTGTTCCCTATCTAACAGAAATCTCATGAGATTAAAAGGAAAAAAAAAAAATCAATTCATCTGTAGAGAAGACCATACAGAGAGTAAGCAGACAATAAGGGAATAAAGAGAGAACTATAAATCAGCCAAATACCGTGAGCAATTGGATCAGGTTAAATACTCCATTTACCAAAGCAAGAAGTGAAGAAAATAAAATATACTGCATTTGGCTCTTCACTTTACTAATCAGAGCCTTTTGTGCCATTGTGATCTGGATCATGCTTTACCATAGTGGTAAAGCTTTCAAACATGTGCAGGCAAGAACTGCACAGAATTTGAGAAATCCTGTCCAGATATTCTCATGTAGAAATGTAACTGCAATAAGTAAGTATCCTTACATAATAAATTTTATTACAATTTTGTTTGTGGAGACACTTCATTGCATAGATACTGTGTAATTATATACATCCTACTCAGTCCACGCCTAGTGCTTACAAAGACTTTCAAGAGCTGATCTTTCTTGGAAAAAATATTAGGAACAAAACTATCATTCAAATTTAGAGTCAAAAGATAAAGCAAATCATGCACTGCCAAGTTTTTATTAGTTCCATAAGGTGTTACACTTGAAGCTTGATTTGCAGTGTTCTTTCATTCTGACAGAAATAATTATTTGAAAAGTCCTTGCTTTTTCATCCATTTCTATGGAAATCTACTTGGCTTACAAATCAGACTTACCGCTGACCTAATTGTGATACTATTATGTCGTTCAGACATAAGAACTTAGAGCAGCAAGAAAAAAAAGGCAATGTAGGAGGATGAAAGAACTCCAGATCTCATAGTTTTATAAATTATTATTTTTATTTTTGTTTTTTATATACCAGCAAAATTGCAGTAGCCTAAATAGGTCTTAGTCTAGTGTACTTTAAAGAAAATGGTTATGGTTTTCAGCAGAAACCGCTCCTCATTCTTTGAAATCATTTGAAAATAATCCTCTTCCAGTGAATTGAGCTTGATGATCAAACATTCTAAAACTCTTCCATACAGCAGTTTATGAATTATTGCATCATTCAGTAATTTTCCTTCTGCCTTTGCTTCATTTATAGGGACCAGAAGACTTACTGATGAAGATCACCTGAGCCTCCAGTTCCTTAAGCATCTTTCCTGGCCTTGCTTAGCTCTTCCTAACACGTTCCACTGTGAAACCTTCAATGTCATTTGGCTCACTATGAAGGATGATCAGTGAATTATTAATTTTTCCCATTTGGATATTTTCAACAGCATCTCTGCATCTTGCATAGGAGGAGACCTTGTTTCTGTCTGAGGATCTGCATCTGCAACAAGCTGTTTGGTTTACCAAGAGCAAGAATTTTCCCCATCACATAGGCCTCCTTTTGGTATTAGTGTGCCTCTTCCATCTCCTCTCTCTCTGGCACTGTGATTACAAGTTTTCTGAGTATTGCCCTTTATCCTTCCAGACTCTGTTCCCTTGTTATTTTCTTCATTTCCAGTTCTGTGGCTAGCTCCTTTCTTCGTCCTGCTACCCCATATTCAATCTCTGCCTGTTTTTTCTCATTCTCTAAAAAAATAAATAAATAAATAAATTGCCCTGTGTGTTGACTCTTCTCCAGCTGCAGATTTTACTTCCATCATTAAGAACTTTCATGGATACCTCTTGTTGTCCTCAGACTACTTTTCCCAGTTTTGCTCATTGTATGAGTCTCCAGCTGTATACACATTTTCTTGCTTCATCCCTTCCACTGTTTCTGACAGAACATTACTGAATTATCTTAACATCTCTACATGCTTACCAAATCCTTGTAATTTTGATGCAAATGCTGAAATAATGTTTGTTTGCACTTCTTCTATCAGACAGCATATGTCCTGCAGCTTCTGTGGCTGTTAATACTTCTCAGCCAGGTTTACTTTACTTTTTTTATTTATCAAAGTCACTTCTTCTTAACACAGGTGAAAGTACAATAGCCTGCCCCTACAAGTTACTATAAAACCTCCTTTTCTGAGTGCCATCTATTCTTTGTCTCCCACCCTCTTTCATTTTGTGAACAAAACTCTAATTAAGTGAATTTCTTTATATCTCGGAACTCGTTTCCAAAATACGGGTGGTTTACATGAAGCAGATAAGTGTATCCTCCAAGAAGGCGAACGGAACGAGAGGTGATTTGTGTTACTTGGGCTCCATCTAGTGGTAATTCTTGCTTCACAAAAGGCATATATCCTGCTGGCAGGAAACACCGCCAAAGAACGGGTGATAGTTGGAATGAATTTGGGAGTTTTGTTATTTAAATTTGTGCTGCCTTTTCTCTATCAGCCCAGATATCGACCTACCCTCCTGTACAGCAGAATACAACAAAAGTAGGCCATCTCTCCCTCATACGTGTGTGACAGCCATTGGGTTTAACATGTACAGTAAAGATATTACTTCTTCACATGCTTTACTTGATTGCTCTGACATGCCATTCTGCTCTCTAACGTGTCTCTTGCTCCTGTTTGCTGTTGATTTAGCCCCCGTTGCCAGCTCACTATGTGTAAAATACACCCACCGTGCTGTTGTGATCACTGGAGGTCTCCTTGCATTTTCAGGAATGGCCCTGGGATGTCTTGGGCTCAACATGATCTGGATGTATGCAACAACTGGCTTCCTACAAGGTATGTCTTTGTGGCTTTACAGGTTTCTTGCACTAGCAACTCAGAGCCCTTACTCGAGGATGCTAATTGCAGGAGTTTTAAAATCTGATTTCTGTTTTGATTTTATAAACATCTAAAACCAATGTCCATATTTGAAGGTTGTTTCCCTCTTCTCCCACTCTGGATGTAAGAATCTGTGCTAGAAAATTGCATGACAAAGTAGAAAACCGATACTAGTAATTTGTATCTGCAAATTATATGCAACCAGAAAATGAAAAGAATACTGTTTTATCAGAGGCTGATAGTTCTGTGAAGGCCTGAGGAATCTAAAGCATACTGAAGTACATGGACCTAGAGTTCCCAGACGCTGTGCTTTCTATTACATGATCTTACATGTTGAGCATTTTTAGCATTTTTAACAAAGTAACATTCCCAGTTCTATGCTGGATACTTGAAAATGTGTGGAATTAGAGTTCTTTGGCCTGCTAAATAATTATAGAGAGCCATTAAAATTAAAGTAAATGAGAGTAGGTTTGAAACCAAGCAGCCTGGCAAGACAGTGAGCAGTACCCATAGCTGGTGTGCTACCAGCTTCCTTCACGTTATCCCTCACTTTCTGGCACTGAGCACAGCTGAGCTTAACCCAGAGATCTAATCTAGGAACATCTTCAAATTTGTCTGAACAACTGTTGCTATTTTTTTCATGGTAAGAATATAATTGTGTATACATCATTCTCCTCTTTATTTTTTTCTTTTCTTATCTTACAACCTATTCTTACAGAAGTGCCACAAATATACACTGTAGTATATAATGAGCTGATTCACTAGGCAAGAAAATATTTTTATTTTCCCAGTTACTGTCTTCACAAACATAGGAGCACTGACCATTTTAATTTCCATCTTAACAGAATACTTCAGCACTATCTAACTGATGGTATTCATATTGGTGTTTTTCAGGACTTGGGATTTCCTTTTCATGGACACCAGCCATCAGCATTGTTAGCCATTATTTTTCCAAGAAAAGAGCTCTGGCCAATGCTATTGCCAGTGCTGGAGAATGTGTGTTTGCGTTTACATTTGGGCCATTTTTCCAGTGGCTGATTGGTCAGTATGGATGGAAAGGTGCCCTCTTGATCATAGGTGGCACCCAACTCAACATCTGTGTCTGTGGAATACTAATGCGACCCCTGACAAGCAGCTTCCACCCTGAGGTGAGCCATCCTGAACCAACACCTGGCAGTGGTGCATCTAAGACAGACAAAGAAGGGAAGTCTATCATCACACACAGAACCTTCAACTGGATGCTTCTGAGGAGGGCAGAATTTGTGCTTTACGCCATGTTTGGCATACTAGCTGCAATGAGTTTCTTTGTTCCTCCGTTATTTTTAGTTCCACTAAGCTACAGCCTGGGAATAGACGAATCTTGGACTGCATCTCTCCTATCCATTCTGGCTATGGTGGATTTTGCAGGCAGACTGCTATGTGGCTGGTATGCCAATCTCCACCTTACGAAAACTATTCACTTACTGACAATGACAATCACCTTGATCAGTACTTCCTTGATGCTTCTGCCACTGGCTAACAACTACCTGTCCTTGGCAATATTCACTGGCTTCTATGGATTCTTCTTTGGCACAACAGTTGCTGTTCACATTACAGTGCTAGCAGAAGTTGTGGGCATGTCAGATTTTGACAGTGCTTTAGGGCTTTTCATGCTTATTCGAAGCACTGGAGGATTTTTGGGGCCTCCTCTTGCTGGTAAGTGTATACTCTGCTAAATACAGTTTACATGAATAATGAGGAATGGTTACCCAAACTGAAATATTTAGAGCTGGAGCCAGATTTCTTTCTCCATTAGCTCAGGAATGCCTGGACAAACAAGTAAATAATGAAAATACATATTTGGGACAAACAACAGATCCATACTTTCATAGAAAAAGCAGCTGAGTTTTTTTGGAATTTGAGAATAATCATTCTGCATAAATGTTGCTAATTGCTTGGAAGGTTTCCACAGAAGGTCACACTTGAATGGCTTGAAACGTTGAGCTATGTGTACCTGAAGGAAATATTCACAAAGATGCTGCTGTTTTCAGACAGCATTTCAGCTGAACAGTGTAATAGTGTATGGGGAATCAGTACAAAAAAAGCAGTGGGAAGAGAAAGCAGACAGTGAGATTGCATATGGTTTTTATTTGTTAGCAGCACTACAGTGTTCATCTTGGAAAATGCAAGAGAAATTAGCTGCTGGCTGTAGGAAATTTACTAAGTGGTATGGTAGAAAAATGACTGACGTAACATGTGAATCTGAGTCTTCATCCAAAGTGCACTGAATAAAATCAGGGACTTCACAGCCTACTGTGATTTCTGTGGCAATGACAGCGTGTAATAGGGTACAAATGGGTCAAACTGAATACTGTAATATTTTAATTCAACTTTAAAGCACAAGGACTAGGAAGTTTTATAGAGGATTTGAAAGAGAGTGGTATCAGATTTAGTCAGGGAAGATCTGAATAAAGTACCACAGTAACGAGACTTGCAGAAATAATGCCTGCTCATCAGCACTGATTATTTGGGTATCAATGTGACGCTTTGTGTATGTGTAGCAAGCTGAAAAGAAAGTGCGGAAGAGGAGAGAAACCTTGGTGCTTACCTAGCTCTTCTCTCTTACTTTCAGAGTAATACCTAAAAGATTTTATTTCAAAGATGTTTTGCCTAGCAGGACTGATGTTAGATTGGAGTGAGGGCTGGAGAATAGGCAGTACATGCAATGGTCCTGCTACTGGATAGAGGCTGAACAAAGAAGAAGCCTTTGCCAGCCCCAGGTGAACCTGTAGCTGTGAGCACTGAGCAGCCAGTGCTACCACGTGCACTGCTACAGCACTACTACTGTGCTTCTGTTCCTTCAGTACAGCGCACGATGTCTCAGGTGTGTTGTGTGCATAAAAGCTGTGTAAAAACGGAGGTCTTTTCTTTTGATAACGTCGACGATTTTTTGAAAAGCGATTAACGGGGAAGCCATTAACGCCGTAGGTGACTCACCAGAGTCTGTCGCCACCAGAGGGCCTCTTCTTTCCTTTTTTAAACTCCCATGCTCTACAGTTGTCCAACTTACCGCGACTGTTAAATGTGAAGATCCTAAGACACAAAGCCGCATGATTAATTTATTTTTCCGCCATTGTTTTTATCGCCCGATAAATTTTGAGTTGGAAAGTGTTTCAAACTAAGCAGCACTTTGTTTCACAATCTGTGTCTGCAAGGTAGATGGACAGAGAATTTTCTGTGAAATTTTCAAGTGCAATAACGTGGCAACGCTTTATGCTTCCATAGTGCAGAAAGCTGCAAGAAAGGTATGTAGTCAGGGTGCTCCCTTTATGAGAGGACGTGTTCACACTGATGAGCTAATTCACATTGGCCTGTTTTCTGTCAGCCACATTACTGTCTCTTTTTTTTTCCTATCCAGGTCTGATTGTGGACATGGCTGGAGACTACAGAGCAGGCTTCTACATGGCAGGAGCCACTCTCATCCTAGCAGCTGTATTTTTAGTTGTTTTAGATCAGTTTCAACAACGAAGTGAAAAAGGAAACCATACGAGTACTAAATCAGAAAAATTATCATTACCTTACACTTCCTTCCATTTTCTGAAACTTCAGAAAAGAAGGTACCAAGACCATGATGTAGCGGTGTGATTACACTGGACATCATGCAACTTCTTGAAAATCAATATTAGGATATTAGGATTCTTTTTAATAGTGGATGTTTTGAGTAGGAGTGTGTAAAACTGAGGAAGAAAGTCGCTAGTTCACAAGCAAACAACACCTGCAACCACTGCCACAATGTTATTTTGATGTTGCAGCTGCGTTTTGACTTTACAAGTCTTCAACGCAGCCCCACAAGGCTGTGATAGAGAGGCTATGATCTAAACAAAATTACCACGAAGCTTTTCGCAGCAGGCAGAAACCTTCCCCTCGAAATACAGGCCACAGCCATCACTTTCAAATAGAAAAAGACACCAGCTCACAGATGTTTAGCCTGGAGAAGCAGTATTCAGAGTGATCACTGAACAGACTGGATATAAAACCAGGAGTACATGAATTTAGCTTTGAGATAATAGCTTACACTTATTCTACAGAGCAGGCCTGGAATCTAAACAAACATCGTAAATGGAGAAAATTACATCAATTATATAATTCAGCAAAGAGAAATGTAGTCCTAAGTATCTGAAGCAGTAAGAAAAGTGCACTTACATAAAATGGAGGACTGACAATTAACAGTAGAACACCTGAAATTATGGTGGACTTCAAACAAAACAAGACTCTCAAATGTAACTGTATATTAAAACTAATAAATATTTCTTTGTGCAATAGTATGATAACTGAGAGAACAATGCTTGCAAGGCTTTAACTAGAAGGGGTGCATAAAATGCAGAGGTTGAAGTGTAACAAGAATGATAAGTGTTAAAAATAAAGTGCCAGAAGAAAAGGTCTGTCCAATTTAGAAAACAAAATGTTATACTGAAAATGAAAACAGTCTTCAAATCTGTAATAGGTTGAGATATGGTAGGCACAATTATTTCATTTTCTTGTATAGACAATTAGAAATTGATATAAGGGGAGGTTTAGGTTAGATATTAGGAGGAAGTTTTTCACACAGAGAGTGGTGACACACAGAACAGGTTGCCCAAGGAGGCTGTGGATGCCCCATCCCTGGAGGCATTCAAGGCCAGGCTGGATGTGGCTCTGGGCAGCCTGGTCTGCTGGTTGGCAACCCTGCACATAGCAGGGGGTTGAAACAACATGATCATGGTGGTTCTTTTCAACCCAGGCCATTCTATGATTCTACGATATGATTCTATAACTCACAGCAAGGCAGAGATATCTCATGGGAAAAAGACTTTCTAATTCTAGACACTAATCATAGAAATAGACCATAGGAGGCTACAGAAACAGAGAGATATCAGAGAATAGATGAGACTTGAGAATTTAAATATACTGAACTGTTCAGTAGTATCTTTCAGTTATCCTAATGCTCTTGAAGAAAGAAAACACTTGATTTGTTAGATTAAGAGGAATCTATACCCAAATCACATTTTTTGTAGTTTTATTTTACCTGGGAAAGAGAAGAAAAGAGAGTTAGGACTGGATCACATTAAGAAGAAAGCAAAAACAAACAAACAAACAAACAGTAAGAGAGGAAAAAATATAGGACTTAGAAACTTCCAAGCTACTCTGCATTTATAGCTGCCTCATTTATGAACTTCAGAATATTTTTCCAGTCAAACATTTTATCTGTGTAGCTGAGTTTAACATCATTTGCTCATCTGAAGTATTTATTTCCCGTCCCATGAAAATTAACCCAAAATTTTAATTTAATTTACAGGAAATTAACTCAGCTATTCATATACCAACTATCTGCAAGGGCTTGATTACAGAGCACACAGTGGAAGGGGCACAACCTGCAGTGTAAGGTCTGTAGCAAGGATTAGGAATTTCCAGAAAAATAACGTGCCAGTTATGTCAATTGTGCCAATTTAAAACTTAGATTTCTATTGAAAGAGTTTTCTTTTCTTTTGTTACTTCAGTATCCTGATGTTCAAAAGAACCCTTCATTTTTATTTTTATTTCTTGTCATTTGAAACACAGGGGAATTGTGTGAGAGGAAAAATAATGGGGAGACACTTAATATAGGACATTACCTTTCTATTGCAATTCAGTATTCTCCATTAAACTTGTGTATTTTAATTACAGTCCCTGTCACTGATTTCCATGTTTGGGTGCATCCTGAGATCTGCCAGTGGCAGTGCAGAAGGCTGATAGCTTCCTGGGCTCTGGGTCAGATGAAGATGCACCGCTCAGCACTGGTTGCATCCATTTTGGAGGCACCCGGTACTGTAAGGAAATGGACAAGCATGACTGAGTTCAGCTTGGGGCTACAGGGGGGCTGTGGGATACTTCAGGTGTGGAGTGGGGTGGCTCTGGGGACCCAGCAGAAATCCCAGCACCAGCAACAGGGGACAGAGGAGACACAGCTGGGTTCTGCACTGGGTACATGGTGGGAGGGTGAGAAGAACAGAAAAAACTGAGTGAAATGCTCAAGCTGGAGGTGAGAAGAAGATTCTTCCCACCAGGATGGCTGGGCTATGGAGCCAGGGCCCAGGCAGTTTGGGCTGGTTTTGGCCTGAGGACCCCGTTGCTCCAGTGTGAGGCTATGAGCAGCCCAGCCTGACCATGAAGAGTCATGCTCCAGGCAGGGCAGGACTGGAGACCTTCATGTGGGCTCAGCAGGAGCAGCAGGGCTCTGTGATACTGTGAAGGGAAAAATGAAGTCATCCTGGAATGATGGAATCACATTTATCAACAGAATAAAAAAAGAAGTCATTAGTTTTAGAAGGTCAGGCATGTTATTTTCAGTTAGACTAGAGCATTCATTTCATACCTATCATAGAGATTTATCAGAGTGTCCTAGGTTCCCACGGGCTGCTGGCTAAAAGAAATGGCCAGGCTTGTATGGGGCTTACATCATCTTCTCCTGAAATACAGTATTTAAAAAGGTAATACCTGTAGAATTCACACATAAATTCCTTTGACTTTGCACTCACAGAGTTAGCAATGCCACTTTAGAGAAACAAGGTTTAGTAAAAGAACTGAGATCAGAACCAGGACATGGTGTTTCACCTTCCCACCCACCCAGTTTCTCAATAGCAGCACTGTGTATTTAGATAACAGATGGCACCACTGATCTATGACAAAGTTTTCTCCCACATCCCTTTGTTATACTATTAACAAGAAATTCTTTCAGAACACAAACCATTCCATCAATTGACATTTTCTCCTCTGCACTGCTTGAGGCAAGGAAGGGGCAGAGATGCGCTGATTTTGGTATCACATGGATTTTCTGTATGTATCAGCTTCAACTCTGAAAGAACAAACAGTAGTCTTCAGTGAGCATCCCCTCACAGAACTTAAACCTTTTTTTTCAGGAAAGCACATGTCTCAGTAAGGTATTCTGTGACATTTTCAACGCATTACACAAGAGCTGGCATGCTTCTTCAGGAATTTACTGGACTGTGATAGTGTATGCTTACTGTTTTACACTCATGACTATCTACAGCAAGTTTCTCTATATCTCATTCACCTTTGAAACTCCCACTAGATTCATCTGGGATTATGTAAAAGAAACACTTAATAATTTACCTAAATAAGGAAGATTTATGCTTTTCACAGTTGTTTCTCTTCTTCCCTTGACTTTCTTTACTCTAGAAAAAAGGTCATTTCAGATTTTGGTCTTAAGTTGTCAAGTAAAAAATCAGAGTAACAGAATGGCTGAGGGTGGCAGGGACATCTGGGTCCATCTGGTCCAAACCCTGCTCAAGCAGGGACACCCAGAGCAGGGTGCCCAGAGCCATGCCTGGGCAGCATTTGAAGATCTCCCAGGAGGAGATCCACAGCCCCCGGGCAGCCTGTGCCATCTACAGCACCTGCACAACACAGAAGCACTGCCTGGCATTCAGAGCGAGGCTCCTGCATTCCAGTTGGTGCCCACCGCCTCTTGCCCTGGCACTGGGCACCACTGGGGAGAGCTGCCCAAACAGAGATTGCGTTGAGGCAAGGTAAGATTTTTAACACTGCTGGAAAAAAGCTGTGTAGTCTGTAAACAGATGAAATGGTCCAGCTCTTCCCAGCCCTGAGCTCACTAGAAATATTGATGTTAAGACTTTTCAACCAATTCCCTGAAGAAATAGACGTTGACCTCTCACACTATCACTTCTTTTCTGCTCATTTCTGGAAACAGCCATTTCTCAACCAAGTCTGGAGCCAGTGTTGTTGTTCTTACTCAAAGGTAACCAGAGTATTCCAAACTAAAACAGGAAGTTTTGCAGGATAGAGAGGCCCAAATGATTCACTGAGAGAGATGTCAAACAGAACATGGTCCTTCATGGTCCTTGTATCTTTTTTGCCTTTGTCAGTAACTAACACTTCTGACCCACCACAGAACCCAGAGTTCTGGATTCATCACAGGCTGCTGTTTCTTGCCTGATGTTCTGAATGCAGTTATTACAGCCTGTGTGTGTGTGAGCACAACGACAATTCACACAAATCCACTGGGAACCGGGCTCCATTAGTTCTGCAGCACACAGAACAGTCTGTTGCAGCATTTCCTAGCCAGTACAGAATCAAACTACTTGCTATAAACTAAGAGGCTTCCACCATGGTGTAACAGTGTCATCTTTAAGTTTTGCTCCAACAGTCTTGGCCTCTACACGGTGTTACAATGACATAAAATGTGGATAAGCAAAGCTTTAGTTAAATGAGTCCCTTGACTCTGTCAGACAGGAGCCACAGAACAACCAGCCCCAAATCAAAACATGCTTTTATTGAGTATCAGGCTGCCCACTTGAGGAGTTCATGCAGGCAGAGTGGTGCTGAGCCCCTTCTAGCAAGGTAGGTAATCTCATGAAGAAATAACTGATTTCTGAGGTGCTTATTAGGAGGGAAAGATGCAGGCTGTGAGAAGAAAGTTGTCTCCTGGCCCCTTTCATGCTAATTAATGCATTCAGAAGCTGTACTAAAAGGAATTTAAACTCGTGATAGTCATAAGAGAACAGATCAAAGAAGGAAAAAAACAGAGTAAGTCAAGGAAAGGAAAGCTGTACATGCCTTTAGTTAACAGAGTACAGGTCTGAAGAAGGTAAGGCTTGCATTTTTTATTCTACCTAAACCCAAACTATTCTATGTTGCTTAAAAATTACGCTTTAGTGGAGACTTAACAGACTCTTAGTGAAAGTCTGAAAATGCTTTGATTCCTTGGATAGAAGTTTCTTTGGCAAATTCACTGCTCTTTACACTCACTTTACCCCAGTATGAGATAGTAGATGAATTGGATGCTATCAAGTAGAATCTGTTGATCTGCTTACGTGACAGAGACATGATTACTTGTGGATTCTTCCTCTGTAATGTTCAGATTATTTTTAGTTGGATGATTGTTCTCTTGAAACTGAGAATTAGGATTATAAATTCTCTGTGCTTGTTGGCCAACATAAAATAGTAATCATCTGAAAACCAACAGGTCTGTGACAGTTTGTGCTGACCAACTCTTTGAACTCTTACAGGGTGTAACAGAACTACAGAAACATGTGTATGTGCATAATATTATTTTTCTTGATTTCAAATATTTTTCCTTGTCCAGGCAAATTGTCTTTATTTTTTTTTTTTCTATATCCCTGTGAGACTTCGCTTCATAAATCAGTCACTGCTTAGTGCCTGAAATGATCATCTTAAATCACAGCCTGCTGCACTCACGTGGAACTGCTCATAGCTTTGAGTTTCGCGTTTCTGAGTTTTTAAATTGGAACAGTCTGCTTAATTCTGAGAATAGCATACTGTTCTACCTCTCTAAAATGCCCCCACTGAAACAAAAATTTGATAGTACTTATCAACATATACAGATATTTCTATTGTGCTCTAATATGTGGTTTTGCACAGAGGTAGGATCTCAAAATGCCCAGAGGAAGCCACCGTCAAGATGGAAACTTCTTTAGAGGAAAAGGACGGACCTATTTCACAGCAGAAGAGTAAGCATAAAGCAAAACCTATTTTAGCATGTGTGTGGAAAGAAAACTTATACTGAACAGAAATTTCCAGGATAGTACATAAATAAAAATCAGGGCTGTACAAAGAAAAAATGTATTTTGGTCGTTTCATGGTTCCTTGAAATGTTTGTCATGGAATTATCCAAAAGAGCAGTCGATGGTTAAGAATAATCAGAACTGCAGAATTCAAGAATGTAGAGCTTGGTCCGATGCTCACAATTCATATTAACCTTTATGATAACGTTACCAGGGTTGTTGAGGCTCATTTGGAATTACATATTGGAGGTTGCAACAGTGCAATCTTTCAGTAAGATTTATGTCCCTTTAGAACTTCAAAGAAACAATGCTTTGCTCTAAGGAATACCCTAAAGAATAATATCAGTGGAAACCCCAGGTACATCTCCTAAAAGCAGATGGAGACAACAGCGCACACGATGTGACTCTCACTAAATCATTTCTGAGCGAAACTCCATTAAGAACCACATATTCGGAGCCCTCAGGTCATAAGAAAGAATGCTCCACGGAACACCGAATCATAGAAAAAGAGGGCAGGTAAATGTTAAAGGTCTCTGATGCGTGACGTTCCCCACACCTCGGTCCCAGTGGGAAAACCCGAGGGTTTACTTTGGAGAAACTGGGTACCCGACACACGGCTGCGTGCTGGGATAGATTTATCCTCACTCATATCATCTTTTGTTCTTCTTTTCCTGCCAACTTATCCCTCTGGGCTTTCCCAGACTTTTCTGTTCCTCAGTGTTCAAAGATCACAGAAATGAGGAGTGAATGCTCAGTGCCTTAACAGAAAGCACGTTAGCACAGCAAGTTTTTTGAGACTAAGAAGCTACAGTAACTTTGTCATTTTGCTTCTTTAATATCCTAAACAGTGGGAAAGATGTCCTACAGCACAGTGTGCAGAACCTATATTCCCCAAAATGACCCAGTGACATCAACACAGTACCTGCTGTGTCATAGGACAAGAACTAAGTAAATACAGAGCTGTTTATGAAAAAAAAAATACTGAAGTTTCTTACTAGGTTTTTGAAACTGTGCTGTGTTTTACAAATAATTTTAAAAATTGTGTCGCCAGAATTTATTGCAGGATGATGCAAGTTGGGATACATCTCTCAATTCTTACTGCCTGGAAAAACTTAACAAACATGACACGCCTCAGCAGGCTTGGCACCTATTTTACTTCTTGTTCCCTTCCAAAATCATAATTCATAATTCATAATTCAGCAGTTTGCTGAATTTACACATAAGGATATTTTAGAAGCATGGGTTGTTGGTAGATTATTATCTTCAAAGATACGAATATTTCTCATTTTTAGAATATTTTAGATCTGGGCAGAGAATTTATCTAGCAGCTTAATCTACAGAGACTGGATTAAGCTACCGATGCTTTATTATCTGAGGTATATCCTGCTTCATCCCTCCCTCTGGCAAAGGAACAGAGATATAAGCTCCTGATCTAACCATTCTTGCTCCCAAAAGAATGCACCCAGTTCTACTGTTACTTATTTTTTCTTATCTTTTTTTCTTTTCACAGAGCCCTTGGAATTGGGATCTTCATTTTGGTGCTGGCTATGTTGCTTATCTTTGGATGCTGGTTTTACAAAAGGCGTAGTGGCTATAAAAGACTACAGGTAAGCATGGCAGCTCGCTTTCACACGTTATTCTGACAACATACCATCATTATTTGCATTACATTAATGCTGACAACACTACAGCTACCATTAGATGTCCTTGTTTCAGACATATTAACAGGTGAAAACACGGAATATGAAATGCAGTAAAAGTTGCAAGTAGATCAGAGAAAACAGAAGCATAAGGAAGTGGAGACAATTGCTCAATTTTTCACAACATGACGACAGAAAAATCTAGTCTCTAGAAAGCATATTTAAATCTACACATATTCTGTCAATTTTTCATTTGAATAAAACAACATTTTCGCTGCTCAAAAACATCTAAGAACAGATGCAATTGGAGTAAGCCTAGGAAGCAAAAAAAAAAAAACAGCTGTTACAATTAATTTAGTAAATGTGACACTTGTGCTAGTGAATACTTTGACCAAGAATACTTTCTTATAAAAGTTAAACATTATTTGCAAAAAAAGCAAGACAGATTTTGAGGTTTACTTTCTAAAAATTACTGCTTAAAAATGCTATTTCTTGCCCTCTTCAGAAATGTTTGAAAAATCAAATTAGGTCTGTCCCACAACACTGTGGTGTTGGAACATTCAAATCTTCATCTTTGGCACTGAAGAGCATTCTTGCTGTGAAATGGAGGCAGTTTTTAACCATGCAAAGTGAAGGCTTTTTGGAAACCCGGTTTCCCAATATTAGCTTTTCTAACCTTTCCAAAAAGATGTGACTGTTTTGAATTAAAAGCTGTAACTCACCAGCAAATCCCTTTCCTCGCTGTTCTGATAACTGCCCTGCTACCTTCCCACTGACAGATCCAATACATACACCATCACATCTTTAATGCTTTCTTTGTGCACAGCACAACTTCCTTTCCAATTCCATCTAACAGCTGACGTTTTGTGGTTTTGAAAACCTCACAATTTGTTAGGCTTTTTGGAAGGAGGAGAACTAGTGCAGGGTGTACAAAAAGAAGTGGGAAATGGTAAAGAAAGGAGTTTGAGATTAAGAAAAGGAATGGGAAAAAGAAAAGGAGGTGACCTTCTTATAGCAAAGAAGGTGTCCAAGAAGTAACTGCAGGCCAGAAAAAATAAATGCAATCCTCATTTTTGCTGACAACGCAATGCATGATACAGGAGGGAGAGCATGTTTCAGGAGAGACAGCAAAAAGCAATGGGTAGATTGCTCTTCTTAGTTATTGCTGTTGTGCCCAGTCCTAATCCCACATCCTAACAAATGCTGCATAAATACTAAGTCATACTTATATGAAGTGCGCCCCAGATTCATGTTCATGTTCAGTTTTACTTTGACTTCTTATTTTTTTATGATCTCTCACAGAGCAAAGGCATCAGTATGGGCACCATACGAACTGCGGTAGGTGAGGGAGCAACACCAGACTGCAAAACGGCTCTGCAAGAGTACAGGAACTTTAGTTCTGTGGTAAGTTAAAGCTTGAGCTTCATTTACTTTAAATACAATAAGACATGGTGAGATAATCTTGGTAAATATTCACTTGATGGTTTCTTTCTTGGTTCGTGCTCTCGAGGCTGAGTCTGCAATAACTCTAACTCTTAAAAATAGTTTTGCACATTTTTAACTCTGAGAAGGTGTGGGGTTTTTTTTTGTTTTGTTTTGTTTTGTTTTTAATTAAATATAACCCCAATACTTCTAAAAAAAATCCCTGTACTTTCACCCACCTTTATTCTGAAATTGTATCATCATTATTCTTAAGGTAACGTATGAGGTAATGCTGAAATATATGCAGCTCTAACAGATACCCTACCATTCTTGTAGATGACAAATAGATTGTGTCTGGGAGCACCACAAAACTTCAGGGTTGTAGACCCTCTAAACACTATGGAACCATAATTATTTTAAAAACTTAAAATAGCTTGCTTGAAAAATATATAGATCAAGATACAGTTGTGTTTAAACAGACTGAAAATAGGGAAAAGGGTAACTTACAATTGTAAATAAGCCACCCTAATTGTTGTCACTGGAAATAAGCATTCATCAAGACTCCTGAAGTTCTAGATGGAGTTGAAATCTCAGTAGGTAAAATATCTTCTGTTTAAAATTCCTGTACAATGAATTATACATACATACACATACATATAAATTAATCTGATGCAAGACCTGGAAACATGTTAAGAAAAATGAAAACAATGTGAAGACGCTGTGAATCAGCTCAGCTATTTTAAGCTGCAGTGCCACGTCTGATATGAAAGCAGATAACTCCTTGCATATCTCATGTCATTTCATGGCTTCTCAATTGTCTTTTCAGTCTTTCACACTGATTTTCTTACCACAGGTACCTGATGCTCCACCAGCCTATGACAAAATTGCTGCAGAGCAGTCACCACCTCCTTATTCACCATGATAGCAATAAGTCTCAAACTCTGAGCACATCCATTCAATTTCTTCATGCTCCCTCTTTATTTCCTATACATTCTTAACTTTCTGAAAGCTAAAACTGCAATAAAAAATTAACTAACATGCTTTCATAAGCAATTGCTGAAAATTACTCTTGCTCAATTTAAAGTAGTTCATGAAACACTATAATAAAGCTGACTGTGCTTCTGTTTTATGTTCTCCATTTATTGTGTTCGGATTAAGACATTTTGTTCGGGTTTTGGCTTCTTGCATGCTTCACAGAAGTACCAGTATTAAGAACACACCACTGGGTATCAACTGGATTGACAAGTGTAGGCAGCTGCACATTCATCTTCCACATTTTCTCTCCCTTTATTTAAAAAAAAAAAAAGAGAGAGAGAAACAATCTATTCCATAGAAGGCAATGTACAAGAATCTGTAAGAATAATGTGGGCGGAAATATTTGATTACATGTGCTGATATGAAAAATAACCATTTTCCCTGCCACCCTAAAAATTAATCTGCAAAAGGAGACTGTATTTTACAGCAGCCATATACCTCACAGCACTTGTTTATGTATCTGTAATTAACCAATCCCTCATGAAATAACAAAGTTTTATCCACGTAACTTGAGAATTTCTGCTTATAATCCATGTTCTTTCATACTTGTCAGTGCATATAACAGCAATCACATTTCGTGACCTACTGGTAAGAAAGCAGAGCAGTCACAGAAAACAAAGAACGGCAATACATCTAGATTAAGGTATACTCATTAGGCAGATACTTGTTCAAAGGTAATAAATATCTGTGAATTCTGTGAAAGTTTAAAGTTATTTATTTTTATAGTGATTTGATATATGTATTTAGAAATGTAGAGAAGTACTTAAACTCAAAATGTTGTCTTAAAGTTGTCATTTTCAGCACACTCCCTGGGCAGCCTGGTCTAGTATTAAATGGGGAGGTTGGTGGCCCTGCATGAAGCAAGGGGTTGGAGATTCATGATCCTTGAGGTCTCTTCCAACCCTGGCCATTCTGTGACTCTGTGCAGGAAAAAATTCTGTGGACTTGCTTAGTGACAGGAAGAAGAACGCACAGGAAAACATGCCAAATGCCAGCTTGGAGCTGGTAGGCACCAGATGTAGAACAGAATGTGCTCCATACATTTTTTGCAGAACTGGCAAGCTTGAAGCTGATGGTTTTTTTGCGGCTCTGTAATCTGCTGTTTCCTATCCAAGGGTTTGTCCTATCAAACACAGCACTAGAAAGTCCAATCTGAGAGAAGGTTTGGATAAACAGAATGAACTGCTTCTCCAAATGCACAACTACAGTTCTTCAGTAAATTTTGTCCCTGTGTGCTTCACTCTTGGGCCAATGCAAAAGAAGTTGCAAAAGATGCTGGGGCAGCGGTTTCCCCGCTGAATATGAGAATATGAGGGACAGGCAAGGCTGAACTCTCTCAAATTTCCTCATCAAAAGGCAGATACAGATTACTGACCCCTGTTTCACCAGAGAAAAAGAGCAGAACACAGAATCCAACTCTTAACATCTTAAACATCTAAGCTGCAAAATATAGTTAGTGCCTTCTCCAGTTCCTCCACAAAATTCTTGCTTGCTGACAGTGCTGCACTCCACTCTTGCTGGGCTCACAGAACCCAAGCACTGCAGCAGTGCTTGAGCAGCAGATGTCCTTCCACATTTCCAAACCATTTTATTGCTATGGTACTGATCACATGACTGAACCACATGCTGCTTTTGTACTTTCCCTGTGTGAGCGAAGTACAGATCAGAACAGGACCAAAAGTGATTGTCTAATATGAATAATTTAGTCTTTCACTACTGATTTTGTCAGGACTGTTCAGCTCAGCTCACTCTCATTTCTGGATGGAAGGAACAGACTCCTGTGCTGCACATTGTGCTCACAGTATTCTCCGCTTATACAGAAAACCAGCCTTCCTCCTCCTGGTTCGTATCTGAATTATCCTTGTTATCATTATCTTCATTCTTGCAGCTATTTGGGAAAGGAACAGACTCATATTTTCTGGAGAGTTTTTTCTAAGAAAAAGGTTTAATCTTTCAACATCTGCCAGTTCGCCTTTTACCAATTAGAGGCAATTGGTAATTGGCAATTACCTTGTTAGAGGCAATTTATTTCTTTTTCTATGCCATCACTTATGCCCCAAGTAACTCTTTACTGACACTCAGGAGAAAAACAGCCCCCATTTTAGATACAGAATCTCAGTCAGTTTTCAGTCCATCTCACTCTCTTCTTGTCCAGCCCCATCTTGTCTATGACGGTGTTACGGAGGACAGTGTCAAAGGCCTCACTCAAGTCTAGGCTAACACTGCTCAGTGCTGGATCTACTGTCTGCAGTTATTTGCAGTAGGAACTTTAGGCTTGTTGTTTGTCTGTTAACTGTGCTTTCAGAACTTTTGAATCTCTTCAGAATATTTGCCAAAACAACAGAATCGTATGGCATGTGTGAATACTTCTGAATATTAACCTCCTGGAAAGACATCCTAGCAAAGGCTGGAAGATGCCCCATCTGTGAATTGCAGTATGTTACTCCTACATCAGCATCTCTGGAAACTACTTCCTGAACATTTCTAGAGTCAACACAGATTTAAGGCTGTGGTTCTTACAACCTTGGGACACCCCTGCATATGCTGTCCATGCGCTCTACACATACAGTGTTTGGCCTCACCAATAGGGAGGATCACGACAATGTCTCATGGTCAAATCCTTGCATAAAACGTGAGTTTTTTTAGCAGTCATTCATATACCTCTCTCATCATTTCTGCAGATGAAAGAATAGTTTCTGTTTTTATGCCCAGTTATTTCTGCTCCGCTTCTCCAGATTACTGCTCACCTTTTTTCCTTGACCCTGATTTCCTGGCTGAGTTCTCTCAACTCTCCTGGAAATTAACTTTTCTTCTTTCCACCACTGTTCCCTATTGGTCACCACAGTGAAGATGCTAAAACCAACACTAGCAGGGACTGCAGAGAGGAGTGACAGACTTGCACTGGTTTCAGTAATCTCCTTTAAATGTCATTCCTTTAAAATCATGCAATTTTTGAGTAGGAGGAGATGTATCTTTTTTTGGCAGTGAAATGTTGGGTTTGTAGTTGATAATCCTGTGAAAAGATTTGTACAGAACAGAGTCACAGTGCTCCTTTGTCTTTAGAACTGTGAATTCTGTTCCCACGTCTCAAGGATATAGTAAAATTGAAAATGGCAGTAACAGATCACTCCCATGAAGGAAATAGCTGAACTGACCACGTCTCTTCATTCGAAAAAAGAGACAACCAACATGGCAAAGGTCCACATCAGCTGCATGGAGAAATGAATACAGAGTCCCACTATTAATACTCTGAGTGTGAAATAAGCAGTTACCATGTTCAGAAAAAAAAGTGATAATATGCATACTATGTGAAAAACTCTTCATCGCAGGATGCTGGGGATGGTAAAACTCCACAAGAATTTAAGAGGTTGATCAATTTCATCATCAAAAGCACTTTAACGTCTCTTAAATAAATACAAAATAACAAAAAATACAAAACCCTAGGACAAAATGAACAAAAACCATCCACAACCAAAACAAACAATTACAACGATAATAAATTTGTTGAAAGAAATGCTGGTTCAGATTACTGGATACTATCGGAGTGTTCAGAAATGTGTCAGCAGCTATTTTCCTTCTTACACGGATTTGAATCACTGCTGTGTATGGCTCCAAGGCACGATACTAAAAAAGATGGACCTTTACTCGATCCAGCACTTACTATTTGGATCCAGCACTCAGTGGGAGTCACAAAACCACCTGTTTGCTTAGGGTGATTAGCTGCTATGTTTCAGTAGAGAACAACAAAATAAAAGACCATTCAGTTCATCTTGCTCAGCTGTCAACCTGACCTATGAAGTTCCATCACTAAACCACGTCCCTAGACCCACACCCACACGCCTCTTGAACACCTCCAGGGATGGCAACTTCACCACTTCCCTGGGTGGCCACTTCCAATGCCTTGCCAGCCTTTCTGTGAAGAAACTCTTCCTGGTGCTCAATCTAAGCTTTCTCCTGGAGGCTATTTCCTTGCATCCTATAACACGTAGCCTGAGGAGAGATCGACACCCTCCTCACTGCAGCCTCCTTTCAGGCAGCTGTAGGGAGTGATGAGATGGTTTAAATGCAAGGCATTTTACAAGCTTTGAACATGTTCTCTTCACAGATTGATTTGTACGTAGCTTATAAGGTCACATATGTGATCACATTTCTTTAAAACTTCATTTAAAAGGGCTTTTACATTTCCCATCAAATACAATGTTTTGTTTTTTTCTTCAATTTTTGTGTATTATTTGTGTAAATATGAAGTATTCGGTACAAAGAAGAAGTGGGACATTCCAAACTTCTGATGGAAATTCACTTTTCTTTGAAAGAAAGCTTTCCTCTGACCAATATATCAGGGAAAGGTGATGGGAAGATGAATTCCATTTACAAAAATGAGCAAAAAATTTTTTTCTACAAAATAAAGTCATTCAAAGTTATTGCATAGTAGTATCCAGCCTTTCTCCAATAGTATTTGGGATCTGAATATGTGTGCAGTAGAGCATAAAAGTTCATTAGAATTCCAAACAGACTGAAGCAAACTTTGCACAGGGTTATACTTGTCAAATTATAAAGTGTTTATAAAAAAATCATAAAAAAATCTAACAAATCATTTACGTAAATAACTTGACTTCTGAGTTCTGCAGTAAAGCTTTTTCTAATTCGCTCTTCATTAGAATGAATAATATTGTGTATCCTTCTACATTATTGGCAAACAAAAACATCAGGCAAGATCTGTTTCTCCTACCAACTACTCTTTTGTGTTCTAAGTAACACAGATACTGATTCTAATGCAAAAATAAGAGGAAAACAAACATTCTAGGAGGAAAGAGAAATCCATGAAGATTGGTCCCTTCCATCACTGAAATGTCAATAAAATGCGTTGCTGCAATATATACTTTCATA